GGAGATTCAATTGATTTTTCAGATCTCAGCATAAAAAGGTCCAGACTGTGCCCTATTGCCTACGAGTGTTTGGTGGTACCAGCAGTAGGGAATGTCAAGACAAATTCTTTTAGGACAAGAGCAATGAAGATGAAAATACCACAGAGAGCTTTATAGTTTCACGGAACTGCAGACATTTCCTTATGCTGAACAGTTCAAAATTTGGATTTGGAAAGCAAGAGGCTTTGTCCTGTAGGATCTTGCCTTCTTGTTGGTATTTAAAACAACAACAAAAAAAGAAATGTGTTTTGCTCCTAAATTTGAAGCAGCATTCATTTCTTTTTAGAGTTGAATTTAATACTCAGCTCTTAAAGCATGAAATTTATTTGTTTTAATATTGTTTTCCTAATTGTATTAAAGATACTCCTGGGAAGTATATCTCTCCCGGGAAGAGCTGAAGGTTAGGGACAGATGTGGGATCAAAGAGATTATTGCTGTATTGGCTGAGATTTTACCTACTTAGTGTGTTGTGCCACTCTGTAGTATATTTGTATTAACTGCATTTGATAGGTGACAGGGCACTTAAAATTTTTGAATAGACTGAGAAGAATAATAGGTTCTCCCTGAGTCCTTGCCACTCTCCTCTGCACCTCCCTGATCTTACAGTTTCCTAAATGAAGTGATAATAGGCAGAGGCCAATGGTACTGTAGTGGCAAAATGGGTACATAAAAAGTGTAGTCATGGAGGCCCACTGCAAGGAGTGGGGGGTGGATTACCATTTGGATTTCCCCTAATTGTTGGTGTAATCCCTCTCTGCACATATGATAAAATATAATGTTTTGTTTTTATGTGGCGTTCCCATAAAATCAACCTCATTTGGTTCATTTGAAGCTCATGAGAACCTGACTTGGCCTCTGGAGAAGGTAGATTCAGACCCTTTGACCTGAATCCTGAAAAATCAGGGTGTGATGCTCTTATGAAGGTATAACAGTATTTGGCCTCTGTGTTGCATGTAGGAATTCTGTTTCTATCCTCAAAGAAGGAAATTCAACTAATTTATAGGAAGGACCTTCCTAGACTGACAGCAGACAAGACTGTTAAAACAAACTCTAAACTAGGAAGTTAGGAAAAAGAGCTGCTAAAACTTGTCTTAACTACTTAAATGTGCAACAGACAGTGAAAGGGGCTGAGGGATAGTTGCATGAAGATGAAATTAAGAAGAAAGGGACGTTTGAAAATGACAAATTAGAGGATACGTCAAGAACAGTGACTGCATCACTGGAACTGGCTGTTCCTCCTACTGCTGGAAACCTGAACAATAGGATGAAGGAATTAAAATTCCTAGTGCTGAATACAAACACAAATCTTGTAGTATTGGTAGAAATAGGGGAGACATTACATAGTCTGAATTAAAGAATTGAAGGGATCACAGAATCATAGAATCAACCAGGTTGGAAAGAACCTCTGAGATCATCAAGATCATCCAACCCTTGATCTGCTACCACCGCGAAAGGTGGATAAACTGATTAGGAAAGTGAGAAATATATACCTGGGCAGTGAGGTAGAATTGTCTGTTAACGAAATAAAAAATGGGACCACCAGGAAGAGGAATATGGAGAAATATACAAACTGTGGAACTGGATGATAATAATAATATCTATTTTGATGTGGGGCAGGGTGGTGGGAGTTAAGGGCAGCAAGTAGTAGTGGAATTTATGTGATCATGGAAGTCTTTAACTTACCCAAACCAAACACAAAAGATGTCCATTGAAAAACCGAACTTTTGAATACTGTAACTTTTTTTTCCCAACTTTATTTTCTGATAAAGTCAGGTCTTGGGTATTCT